ATGCTCCAGTATCTAATAATGCTACCTTTTACCTCACAAAGTTAACTCAGTGCCCTGACCAATTAATCCATAACTTTGAGCCACATTTCCCTTTGGGTGCCCCCACGTTTCCCTGGATCCTTCCAAACCTCTTACCTCCGGATGCACCCTCCTTTCTGGGGCACTGCCTCCGTATGTGACCCAGCTGTCCGCACTCCCAACACCCCGGTTGTCTTGTGTCAGGGAGTGGCCTTCTCCAGTCCCTTTCATGGGGGTGGTCTCTCCAACGATAGCCCGAATGGCCACGCTCCCCCTGATCCCAAGCAACAGGAGGAGTCTCTGTCCACCCCGTTCTCGTCTCTCTTGACCATCCCTTTCTTCTCCCCTCCCCTGGGAGGCTGTGAGCTTATTATAGAGCCTAAGACTCTTTCCTGCTGTTGCAAACGCCTCCGCAAGTGAGGCTGGGGCCGCCCTTGCTGTGTCTTCTCTTACGAACGTATTTTCTATAGCGTCCGTGTAGTACTCAGCTAGCTGAGCCTGCACCGCCTCCCCATCACGTTGAACAGCGTCTTTGTATGCAACCTTAGCTAATCCTAAAACTCTACTTGCTAGTTCCGAGAGAGTTTCTCTTTCCCTTTGCTTAATCTTAATTAAGGCCCTAGCAGCACCAGTCGCACTAGTATAATCACTGTACTGGTTCGTCCCCTCCAGTTACTTTCAGGATTATCATCTAAATATAATCCTATGTACTCCGATACCACCCCGTCCGAATAGTCATAAGCCAGATTCACCAAATCTGTCTGTGTAAGTTGGTAAATTCTAGCCTTTTTCTTCAGAGCTTCTACCCAGGCCTGAAACTCACAGGCTTTCCCCGTGAATATAGGGATCTTGGACCCACTTGCGGCTACCCTAAAAATAGAGCGCGATGGGACATCTATATCCATCCTATCCATATTTCTATTAAATGCCAGCCAGACACACTAGTTATAAAACAACAAGGACCAAAAAAAAAAAAAAATAAAAAAAATAAAACAAAAGGACAAATTTTCAGCCTACCTTGCAGGGTCCGGAATAGACTCCCTTTTTCTGTTTCTTTCTTTCCTTTTTCTTTTTTTTTTCTTTTCTTTTTTTAAGTTTTCATTTACTTGTTCATTGCCGTCGTCCTCCTAGTTGAAGTAAAAATTAAAAAAAAAAAAAAAAAATCTCCAGTACTTGAAGTGTCCGTTCTCTAAGGGGGGAAGAAGTGTGTATCTGTCTGTCCCTCCTTTCTTGCTTCCTTTCTCTCTCTCTCTCACTCTGCGTCTCTTTCTTTTTAACTGTTCCCTTTCCTCCTTTTTCCTCTGTTTTTATTTGTCTTTGTTTGGTCGTTCGTCTGTTTTTGTTTTGTTTTGGTTGTCTTTTTTTTTTTTTTTATACACACGTGTGTGTGTCTATCGGATTATCGAAGTCTTCACTCATTTACACATATATACACATACACCTATGCATATATATTGAGTGTTTAATCGGACGATTCGATCTTTCCTTCCTCCACAAAGTCTAACGTACTAACGTGCAACCCAAGGTCAATCCTGGTCGCGGCACCAGTGTGAAGCTACCCACCTTTGCAACTAGTTGCACAAAGATATAGACCCCACGTCGTAGAATTTCTGTGCGGCGGATCGAGCGAGAGGCAGGCTCACAAGCAAAAGAAAAACACAACTACAAACTTGGGTAGGACGAAAAAGGAGGGATGGCGTGTGACCTTGTGGATAATTAACTCTGGGCTGATTCTCGGCTGGCAAAAAAAATATATCTTAACTAACAATGTCCGGCTGCTAATGTGTCTCTCTTCGTTGTTACTTGCTCCGGCCTGAATCAACCTTCCTCGAACCTAAACTAAGTCTCCCCCGAAACCCAAAGCGCTCCCGTATATATGCAGAGTCCTCTTTCATCATTTCCCACGAATAAACCCATAACTTTTTCATGACCATTTCTCCCTTTGAAGAAAGTGGACATAAAAATATTTCTTAGCCTAGCTGACTCCGATTCAGGGACATTAAATTCAGACCCTTTTAAGTTTTGACCAGAGCCGGTCTTTTAACTATCTTCGTATTTTGACAAGTACTTAACACTTATCTACCCTTTTGGCCATATGTTCAAAACATGTTTTTATCTAGATTCCCAATCTAGTCATTGGGTCTTGAAGTTTGATACCCAGGTCAAATCTAACTAATCTTCTCGCACATATGTGTGCGCGCGCACGCACACACAGATGTGTGGGTGTATATATATACACACACACACAGATGTGCGGGCGCGCACACACACGCGTGCGCATATATCCAACTCATAGTGTCACAGGTTGTGTAGGGGACTTATCAAAATGTCCATCACTTTGAAAGCAAAAACTAACGAATTACTTTTCATAAAAGAATAACTTATTCCTTTAAAAAGAAATAACAACTTTATTTAAGTTTTTCGAAAAAAATAATTTCTCAATATTCAAATTTCCAACTATTTTGAATTTAAACACATTCTTTCTGCTAAAGAAGAGAAAACATGCTTTACAAACTGATTTCCTTTTATCATTATTCTTATTATATTCGTAGACAAAATAAATCTAAAAGCTATAAGTATTAACGATTTGAATCTATTTCATTTTTAATTCGAACATTTTTCATTTATGAATTTACAAGTAATATGATAAAAATGCGCAAATGTTATTCATCTAGGAAAAGTTTTGACTGTTGAAAGAATTTTAGATATTTCTCTCCCTTCTATCCATTTTTATCAATCACTATGCTCTATCATTTTTCAGAAGTCTAAAACTGTCGGGTTGTTGATTTAGCATATCCAAATTTTAAGAAACATTTTACAGTTGCAAAATGTATATTTTTTTCACAAGTTGTTTCACTATTATTCCAAATTTTCTAGCTTATAAAATGTTTATTAGGTGAACAAAACTTAGCACTGTGTATTCGTTTCATTACTAGAATCAAAGCAGCAGAACCATATGGAATTCTGATAAAGATGCTCACAGCCATAGATGATACCGACATTGACAAATTTACAGACATAACAAATTAAATATACAACAGTAGATCCATATCCACAGTACGACCTAAGAAGCCAGGCGCAAGCGATTGTAAACTTCATCGGAGAATCAGCTTAATGAGCCATATAACAAAACTTATCAGAATTTTCGGGTCTAATTCAAACCCGAAATAGGACAAGAACAATACAGTTTTAAGAAAGACACTGGAATAAAAAATGCGATATTTATGCTTAGAATGATACCAGAAAGTGCAATGCAAATGCAAAAGGATGTATACCTATGTTTTATAGATTATGCAAAAGCGTTTGATTAAGTACGTCACAAAGAATCTTTGGAACTGATAGGTAACCTTAACATTTGTTAAGGATATTAGAACAATCCAGAACATGTACTGAAAAAAAACAACCTGCATACGGATAGAAAATGATTTCAGTAAATATGAAAAAATAGAAAGGGATATAAGACAAGTATGTGTCTTATCAAATTTGCTCAACGTATATAGTGAGGCGATTCTGGGAAAATTAGAAGTCTTACCAGGATTCATTATTGGCGGCCACAATCTTAACAACATAAGATATGAAGATGAAACAGTGTTGATAGCATAAACACATAAAAGAAACTACAAGAAATATACAGAAGGGGTCGTAGGTAAGCGAGAAGAAAGACTAAAGATCAAATGAAAGAAGACAGAATGAACAGTCCATCACTCAAATTACAAATTAATGATACCAAAATCAAGCAAGTACAATTGAAATATTTTGAAATTGTTTTAACAGAAGACGAAAAGTGCAACATCGAAATTTTAATGTGCATTGGGGATAGCAAAATATGTCTTCTAAAACTTATAAAAAAAGTTAATGCTCGGAAAATTTTGTTAGAAACGAAAAACAAAAGAGTACTGAACTGTTATATAATATCAGTCCTCCTTTATGGAAGTGGATACTGGACAAATCTCCTCACCGATTAAGAAAATACTACAAAAGGAGGTTGATGGACTGAAAATGTAAGAAATGACTAAGTTTTAGAGAAAATGGAAACAAAATGGATACTTACTCTTAACATCAGAGAAAGACAGTTGAAATTTCTAGGGGCCATAATGAGGAAAGAGGGTTTGAAAAATTTAACACATATAAGATATACTGAAGGCCATACAGACAGAGGAAAACAACACATAACCTGTCTCCTATCATCATTGTGATGGCAGAAGAGGGTTTAGGAAGGTTAGCAAAAAGACAAAATTTACTAAGAGCTACAAAGGACAGGGAAATGTGGAGATCCATGATCGTCAACGTCCTGAAAGGCCAAAGTTAGAAGAAGAATCAACACAGAACCCAGATATTTAATAAACATAACTTTTACTTTTTATTTATTTATGTATATACCAATGTATTTATTATAAATGCATTCTGATATTTGTATACCTAAGTTCTACAACATACATATCCCAGATTTTACAGGATTTAACTGTAAAATAAGGAAAAATTTATAAGTCATTTTGTTTTCAATTGTATCTTTTTTTTTTAATAAAGTTCCTGACCATAGTGACACACATTATATTTCGATTTCAGGTTAGATCAGTAAGTCATACTGATTAAAATATTAATTGGTCGAAGGGGATTTTACAAAATTCTGAATATAGGTTAACTTAACATCATGAAATCATGGATCGGCCGAGAACGAGATGTTTATTCGCATGCGCCACCCACAGTATAGTACGAACACTTCTAAAGGCTGATTTTCTCGAAACAAAGTAACAGGTACAAAGTAGGAACAGGTGTACAATACAAATGCATATGTATATTTTGAAAAAATATGTGCTTTCATTTTTTATTAACTTTTCTGTCTATATCTGTGATTCTGTCTTTCACGTGTATCTTTACGTAGGAATCTCCTACATTTTTCGTCATTCTACCAAGTGTGAACAATTTAAACAAAAATAAATGAAATGACCCATCTTGCATTTCATTACTCAATTTCATATTTTATATCATTACAATGTAATGGAGATCTATCAAGTAAAAAGTATTGGCAGCTAAAATTGAAAATATTTTCCGAAGGGAAAGGTTGATCTTCAAAAATAATAACAATGAAATAGAATAAATATTTGAACCGAAACAATGTCACCTACTGTTGTCAGAATGCGTGTGCCAACATAATATCCTCACGCCACACTGATAACAACGGTATAATAATTTAATTTCAGAAAAATATATGAAAAGGTTATTTTTGTTTGCTTTTGTTTTTTTGTGATATTGAGATGCATCTGGCTAAATTAAAACAGTTACTACTGCTATTGGCTCTTAATGGAATCATCTATTGTCAATTCATTCTTTATACTTATTTATTACTAATTTTACTACTACTGCACGCATTTATCTTGATTGTAGGTTAGGCGGTGACTGCTGCTACTTTCTTGCTGATGTCGGTCAGCTTTGTCGGGATTGACATAGCCAAGATATCAGCTTTAAAAATCATGGTACAGGCCACAGCCAATCATCGACTGCCAATTTGGACATGTGACTCAACTCTACGTTTAATTACTGCTGTCGTTTGCCAGGTAAGCTAGTTTAAGACACGCATTTCACAATAGTCGGATGTAGAGTTTTATTCAGTTTATAGTACACCAAAACTTACAAGCGATCGGTTTCTCGTTGCTGATAAGAGGACTTTTACATTTTCTTCTCGTTTTCATTGAAGGGGAAATTCGCTAATTCAAGCTACGTACGAATATTTTTTCCGAGGTGGGAGCGCCTGTGTGTGGTACTCTGCAGCCCACATGCTTTTCATAACCAGTTGATCATATCACCTGCTACCACATACCTTGCCTACCTATTCAGTAGTACACAGCTAACCTGAATAGGTGTAAATATTGTAACCGATATGAGATTATACCTAATATGGACCAACCAAGTTTTATAAACACCACATTATTTTAATCGACAGCATCGTTGCACTTTGTCGAATATTTTTACCTGAAAAAGGAGAAAAATGAGATTTTCTGCATCATAAATTTTTATTTATTTTTTAAATATAAAAAAAAAACTCTAGTACGTAATATAAAAACAAACCAACAGGTTTACATTCAAGTTTCTTTCGGTCATAAGATTTTAAGCAAATTAAGGTAATTAAAAAAAAACAAAGAAAATATCTTGATTTTAGTGAAACACTGAAAAGAAAAAAAATTAAAAAGTATGAAATAAGGACAATTGCAATATCTGTTTTTCTTCTTAAACAAAAAAATCTTTGAAAAATCAAAATATTTGCGAAAAAGAAATTAAAAATTTCAAAGATGAGCTTTTTCAGCTGGAGAAGAAAGACATTAAACATCAGTGAAGAAGATCCAATGTACAAGGTCAAATATCTTGGTAATATTCACACCTGTATGATGAAAGGTGACGGCTGTGTAGATAAACCGGCGTCGATTCTCTGGAACAATTACCTACAAAGTTCACACCAGGCTCTCGACATGAAAATGGTTGTTTCAGTTAGCGGCATCAAAGCGCATACTAAAGAGCAAGGTCTTATGCAGTACTGGTCTCACAAAATTTCCTATCTTATTGCTCATCCACAGTACCCTAAAATGTTTCTCTGGGTGTATAGACACGAAGGGCGTAAGATGAAGCTTGATTTGCGATGTCATGCCGTTCTCTGTAAGACAGAAGCGAAGGCAAAATTATTGGCCGTACAGTTGCACGATAAACTTTCCTTCGCGCTTAAGGAATTTGTACGAGAAAAACGGAGGAAGCATAACTCTCGGCTAATCATCGAAAGAACAAAATCAGAAACGCCACATGGATCGATCTTACCGCTGAGACAACAGATGCTTAGTCAGGGAGGTAAATTTAAGCCTCCGGTTAGCAAAATGAATTCAGCTCCTAAACTTGGGTCGATCTGTGAGCTTGATGAAGAGGAGGAAGAGGAATATGAGGAAGAAGACATTGGTGAAATGAATGGCAGTTTAGATGAAGATGAATTTTGTATTGAGAGTGACCTTAGCGACGGGTTAGATGCGCTAACGCTGGACGGTGAGTCAGATAATAGTAGTTTCAATTCGGACCGTATTATCGATCTGGAGATTGGGAACGATATCGATGAGCTTAAACATGATGATGATGTGAAATTCTATATGAACAAAAAAAAGAAAAAGCATCAACAAGATTCAGATGGTGAAAGCTCTGAATCTGGATTTAGTGACAACAGTAAGGAAATCGGACTTTACAGTATAGACGAATCTATTGATCTTGATAAAGAAAGAGAGCCGACGAAAGTGACCGGCTCGGCTATAGCTACAACATCGCCAGTCTCCGGTGGAAGTCGGAAACGAAATTACAACAATGAAATTAATGATGACGACAATAATAACAACACTGTATTTCTTTCCAGCAGTACAAGTAGTGGTATGTCCACGTCCAGCACTGGGTCAAGCAGTGATTTGAATCTGAATAATATTTTAACCACAAAATCAGACAATCCTTTACATACCTTATGACCTCTAACATCCATGGAAAAATAATTTTGAACGTTAACTTTTAAAGGTACGTTATTTATACCTTATAATACCTATAATCAAAAATGAAAAAAATAAACTAGTACTAAAAACGTATTTTAATTACGTATTATTTTGTGATATCTTGGTAAATGCCAAAATAAAATCTATGGTGGGGATTAAACCCACGACCAGACTTGACATTCTATTTTTAATTTCTCGATTTCCTTTTACACAGAAGGAAATTAGACGGGAAAGTTAACACTGCCTATATACATATCATGTTTGACTTTATTTACGAGCAGGAAAACGCACCATGGCTCGAATCCCTAAGTGGACACTTTCTGAATCACTTCAGTTGAATTTCCTGAAACGATCCTGGAGCAACCGACCCGAGAAAATAAAACGGCCCATATTTCGACATTATTTTCCCACTGTGATCCGACACCATTTTAATAATGTCAACTGATTATAATTATCTAGGCGTAAAGCAATTTTATTTATTTTGATTTTATAGGTTTTAATAAACATAAAAAACATTTTCTTCTATTGCTTTTTTTGTATGTATATCATGCATGTATTTGAATTGTATGTATTTTCGAATTTCTCTCTAATCGTTTTTTGAGAACCTAAAAATAATTTACACATCAAATTTAATTCAAATACTCTCTTATCAAATTCTCATACATACATACATACATACATACAAGGGGGCGCTGAAAGGTTCTCAGCCCGACCAAGAAGGGATTAAAAAATGGTTGATAATTTGGTCAGATTTGGGGAAGTGGGTTTGAGCCGATAATTATTTAGCACCTCCTCGTGTATACACCGAGGAAGTTTTTATCATGTGGAAATAATTTGAATAAATCATTTGTGAAAACTTGGTTGATATATTTTTTATTTTACACGTTTCGTATTTTTATGTACGATTAAACAAAATGCATGTTTTTCAATCCTAATAATTTTAAAACCTTAATAATTTTAAAACCTTAATAATTTTAAAACTCTAATAAATATAATTTTTATTTAGCGTTTTGCATATTTTTCAATCACAAAAAAAGAAAACAAATGGACACTTCAAATCGTGTAATCAATACAAAACAATTCAATTTATAAAGATAGATTTTCCATGCAAATATTCACATAAATGTGTACTTTTAATCTTTCTTTATTTAACAAATTTAAAAAGTTTCTTTTATTGATGTTTACATAATCACACGTTACCCTTTAATACAGTTGAAATTTGCGTGTGTGTTTAATAAGAAAACAAGTTAATATGAGCCATATCGCCATACATTTTTGTACTAAAAATATTTAAATTATCACTTATGCTTTTATAACAATGTTTAGTGTTCGTAGTCATTAAGGAATGATTAACATAAAACCGTGTACAAAAATGCATATTTGTACACTTTTAGTACTGTTTTTGTACAACTTCTCATTGTGAATAAGGTCATTTACACGAAAAACAGCTTGGTTTATGATTATATACATTTTTGAGAAACCACATATCAGTTTTTGTAAAAATTGAAATTTATATTTCTGCATAATACTATTGGATTCGCAATCTTCCAAAAGCAACTATTAGGGGAAAATAACTTACCCTGCACTTAATGTCTAACTTGTTGCAATGTACTTTATCTATTTCAATTTGTAATAACCTAATCTTATATAGACATAAAAATGTGAAAATCAAAAGCACTACCCAATGTTAATAAAAATTTGGTACTAAGTTCATTTGTTTCCCCTTAAACCTTACATTATTTTAAAGACGATTAATTATTTAAAATAAAATAATAGTTGTTTAGAGATGGAATTATGCCGTAAAATATTTTTGCAAATTCGTCTTGAATTATTACAGTTAATTGAGAAATTCGTATTAAAATAATTAATGTCTATTGATTCAATTTTATTGTTCATTTTCTAACTGCCTTTTCCAAGATCAAGTCATGTTTAGTATTAGTAAGCTTGTTCAGAAGTTAATACCAGGTTTTCTTATGTACAGAGAAAAACGCCCAGTGTCTCCTAAAAATATGATGCGATCGTTTGATTAACTACTGGTTAATTACAATGAAAAATAAAATTCATAACTGATTTTTCAAATAGAGGAAACAATTTTATTTTTAAAATCTTTTTCGTTGAAAGATAATGAAATAATAATAGTTAAATTGTAACATACTGAAGATAAACTTAAATGAATATTTTCAACGTTTATAAACATACAAGTATCATACCGACTGTTAAAACTGTTTGATTTAGATTCATCATAAAACCAGACTTCAAAGACAAGCTGCTATCGAATAATTTTACCACTAATTAATTCATTGATCTTTCTTTCGGTGAATTAGAATCGAGATAGCTTATCTCATTTCCCGTTTCGCTTATCGACTTAAGAGTGATATTTCGACAACTTACTGACGAGCACATGCGCAGATTAAAGAACATTTTATTTATAGAATGGAACAGTTCGTACAAAAGTTGTTTTAAATACGTCCTTTCAAATATTGACACACTAAATATATTCCAATTATTTAATGAAAAAAATTAAGCCATGTTATTATGTGAAATATTAAATCATGAAAATGTACTTATATATATATATATATATATATATATATATATATATATATATAGGTACCTTTAGGAGATTGCTAAAAAGAGTATAGCATGACAAAAAAGACGCCAAACTTGACGAAAATAAAAATTTATCGTGTAAATGTTTATGTTATTATTAAGAGGAAAGATAAAAATATTTTGGGGGTAATTGTTTTAGATTTTTTAATCGTTCCTAGCACGTCCAAAATTTTCGTTAAAGATCTTGTTTTTTAGTCAGCAAAATTGACAGATAATCAGTCATGTCAACCATTTCTTTTCCATTATATAAAAAAATGAAAATCTCAGTTTGAAATTCTTTTAAAAATCAATTATAATTTTTTCAAAACTTATTTTAAGAAAATCAGAAATTATAATGTTTATTTAAAATATTTTGAAACAAGCTTAACTTAGTTTCTGCGCTGAAAAGATGTAGTTTGAAAATAAAACAAAGCAGGTCATAACATTTCGCGTCACTTGACAGGTTACGAAAGACATTTTCATGACGTATTGATAGCTTAAGTGAGGATAATTCCTTCTACGGAAGGAGAGAAGTAAAATTATTTAGATTTAAGTGAGCAAATTATTTACCTCGTTATTTTTAAGGAAAACTTTCAGTGCTCTAATTTTTTTTGTACTTAGCTTTCACTTTTACGTTTACGATGCTTTATGGAAAATATATTATAAAGAAATTAAAATAAGACTGTTGAGAGTGAGATTAAATTGCATAAGAAAGGTATCTAATTAATTTATAGGTACATTTCTTATTAAATTTTATCAGAAGTCTACATAAAATACAAATTTAAATTTCATAAGATGATACTGATACTTGTAGGTACTCTTCTCATTTGAAATTGAAAAATCAAATTAACTTCTCCACACGTGTTTCGCAAAAGTAAATCTATCTCAAAAAAACATTTACGAAACTGAATGCAGCTTTTAACTAATTTTATAATATTTTAACAACTTAAATATAAAAATTTATTATAATTAAAGAAATAAAAAATAATTGTATTGAAAATTCAGTATTTACGTTAAATACTAGACAGAAACTCAATCCACGTGACGTTTTTTTTTTATTGCACGCATGATACTTCCGGTCTTCCGTAGATTTGATTTGCAATCACAATATACTGATGTTCGTTAGTTTGTAAGAAGCTTTGGAAATTATAATCTGTAAATATATATCTACTTAATAACAACATTCGTTAAATTTTACAAACTTTTCCCTAATTTTAGAAGAATTAACAACATTTAATGTAAAAATAATTAAATATTTCAGAAATAACAAATAATTGTTTTAAAAATTCATTTTTCATCGAAATATCTATTTACTTTCAGACATGTTCATTAAAATAAATAAAAGCAATTAAAAGCTTTTGAAATTAAATAATATTTTTGTTTTATTGAGTTTTGTATTTTACAATTCAGAGATGATTTTCAGGTAGAGCTGATCCAACTTAAAAAAAAAAAAAAAAAATGAATGGTTTCTTCAAAGCCTTTTGCTTTTAGCTAATATAATTTTTAATCTTCCCAAAATTGAAACTATAGAGTTTTCGTACAATTAGTTTTTTTTTTGGGAGTAATACATATGAAAAATAAATTTTTTGCCCTGACTTTAAAAAAAGGAAATCATATTTATAGTAAGTTCCATCATTTGGGAATAGTTTCTGAAAGTTTCATTAAAATCCGACAATTATTTTTATTTTATAAAATTATGTTATTTTACTAGTTCCGGTGATACAAAGAGAAACAAGGTTTTTGAAATCAAAACTTAGAATGTTCTAAAAAGAAGGAAAAATTTTTTAAAATAATTAAAAAAATACTTTGATCTTTCCTCTTAATAATAACAAATATTTAGACGCTAAAATTTTGTTTTCGTCAAGATTGGCGTCTTTTTTGTCATGCTACGCTGTTTTTAGCGATCTCATGAAGGGCCCTATATATATATATATATATATATATTACTATATATATTATATATATGTGTGTGTGTGTGTGTGTGTGTGTGTGTGTGTTTTAAAAACAAAATATTGCTCTAGTCTAGCTAGTGTAACTTTTTTGTTTGTAAGTATTAAATCTTTTCATAGCCAGAAAATCGATCTCCATGAAAGCTAAATAGCTCTAAGTTTTAGTATAATCTTCAATACAGTCATTGTCTATAATAGTTGTTACATTTAGTGCATGAAATATGTATGCAAATGTAACAATTATTACGTCATAGAGATGGTAACATTTTCATATCGTATTTATAGTTACATTTTCTGTCCGATTAACTATTTTCAAATATTTTCAGTACAATGTTTACAGTACACTATTGCTCAAATGTACATTATAGCATTTTATCTGAAATTCATATTTAGTGTCTTTCATTTTATTTAGACGAACAAGTTTCGAAAGATTAATCAAATAACAAATATTATCTAATATTTAATGAATAAATATAAAGTACTACGTACTAACTTTTTCAATTTTTTTATTCAAAAATTTTATTTTTAATTTACTTTTTCTAAGGATCTGAAATTCAATTCAACTTTATTTTTCTAAAAGAAATGAAACAATTTTGACTGTATTTGTCAATGGTATTCGGAATTTAAACTTAAAATCTGTTGTGCCGTGAAGTGAGTATGTGATACTGATGAAAATTTTCTGAAATTTAAAAAAACTTTTAGACCATATGTCGACTCCGAGCTACGGGTTATAAAAGTAGTTTTTGTTTTAATATTCATTAAATATTTTGATGATGTATTGCTTACAAATAAACGCAAGAAAACTATGATATATTTCATATTCAACATAAGTTTTTACATAAATTTCAACTTAATGAAATATGCATAAGTACACGTGAAACGCTATTCAAAACTTTCTGATTCTAAAAGTATTCTGAAACAAGGCTTCTGATGAAAAAACTCTTTAAAAAGATATGTAGTAAAGTTATTTTTTGTGTACATATAGTTTCTAAATAAACAAGTCCATGAATCTGCATTTTCAGTCGATTTTCATTTCCCAATTATATTTGAATTTGATATTATACGGTGATATCACAGATTTTAAAATTATACAAAATACAAACACACTGTAGCATGTTGTTTATAAGCCCTAGGAAAAATTCTGAAGCTAAGAAAATGTGTTTCACATGATTATGAAAGAATATCTGTTACTGCTTGATCACTTACCTTTTTTACTCAACAAAGGTAAAATAAATAATTTTGGGGCAAGATATCAATGGCGCTTAGAAAGTAGATTATAACTCCAAAAATTGAAATTATGGTTAGATTCAGGACAATTTCAATTTCAACGGAATCTACTGGGCAAACATATCTGATTGATCGAATTAAAAGACTTTCTTAAATAAATTGTTGGGACCTGAAGAAACTGTGACCGCACTACGCTACATTGAGGTTGGTCTAAATGACGTAATGAAAGGGAAAATAACCAGGAAGACAACCGGCAATTTTATTCCAAGATAATATTAATCAATGTTACAAAGGTGACGAAATAAACGGTCATGATTTATGATTATATACATTTTTGAGAAAAACCACATGTCAATGGGAACATTTTTATTTTTATTTTTCTTACACATCAGAGTGTATTTTTTAAACCTGTCACATTCAGATTATCACTATTTATATTCTATGCAATAGTCTTTGTCAAGTCAGTGATTCAAACAAATTTAAAATAAATTATTATTTAATGGTTAATACACAATTTAACTAAATGGTAGCGTAAATTTATAGAAAGCCAAGAAAATTAGTGTTGATTGAATAATAACGCTATGAATAGAAGACTTTACAAAATATTCTGGAAAATGCATCGATCTAATATTTTTCCATTTCAGCATTTAAGTTTGAAACATTTGAGATTTTTGTAAATTTAATATAGACAATGTCACCATTGCATTTGTTTTTAGGTCAATTTACAGGTTATAACCCAATGATAAAATAGAGTAAGTATATATAACATCCGTCGGAAGATTTCCAAACCAGAGATGTAGATAACTATAGTCATAATATTAGTTTTCAGTAAAGAGGTTTTTGATTATTATCCTAACATTATTATTCTAACTAGTTTGTACATATTGTGCAGAATAGTGTAATAGCCTTTTTATATTATTATTATTATTTGTATTATTGTTTTGTTTTAATTTTTTATCAATTGTGTGGTTATAGAAATTATTCTTAATTAAGATTTGTTTTATATTTTGAGTTCATTAAGGAATACTGTGCGTATTTAAGATATTAAATAAGCTCAATTTATTATATTATTTATGAAGGCTATTTTATATCTGTGTGGGTATATGCTGTTGTAGTTAAGTAGAGTTTAAGCTGGTGTTTTTATAGACGAAGGTTCTAAAGATTTAATTACTGGAATGAATTAGTACGTCTAAAAAAGGAATTCTTTTATTTTTGTTTAGTTAAAGTTTTGGGAAGTTAAAGATGGAGTTCTTGTCAAAGGTTATATTCAGGTTTTTGATTTTGTTCTTGTTGATACAAATTGTCGTCAGTGTAGATTACTGGTTTAAGATGGTTTAATTAAAATTCTTTTTTAAAGATTTCGTTTTCTAAGATTGACATGTAAAATAGTGTGGAGGCGATAGGAACCCATTAGTTTGTGTGTCTAAAAAGTTACTTATCAGATAATAGTTCAATTAAATTGCATATCAGAAAACACAAGAAATTTGCCAATGGCACAAAATCTGTATGACATAAACTGTAAAAGAAACGACTCCAACTATTATACATTAAGCATAAAAAACAAACTCAACAACAATAAAAATAAAAATAGCACACTAAATATATTTGATAAAAAAGACATGATAATACGAAATGTCACGTGAAGAGGCGATATTTTAAAAGGAAACCAACTTAGAACAAAAAACAAAATGCTTTGATAATAGCTTATGCAAACTGAAAGTACTTCGACATATCTATCTATCTATCTATCTATCTATCTATCTATCTATCTATCTATCTATCTAGCTAGCTAGCTAGCTAGCTAGGTAAGTAGGAATATTTTAGGTTTCAAATAAAAGCTAGGAGAATAAAATATATTCAACAGCGACGTGCTTTCAATATTTTTACGAAATTCCTTCTTGCCAATGGTTATACACCCTTTTATGTCATTTTTCATTGTCACCTTTATTATTAATACCTGCCTGAATAATTTCTGATCTTTGTTCTTAGCTCTTATATTTTTTGAACATAGAAATGAGAACTACTTTTATTTTATTTCCGTTTATTTTGAAACCTACACCTATTCAGGTCATTTGCCTTTTGTTATAATGAGTTTAATAGTAATAAAATACTATCAGAATGTATGTGATTCACATATACGCCTTTCATTTTCATTTCCATTACTCCCCTGTTCATTATTCTGAGGATGCATTTAAGGCATAATTTAGGCGAAATCTAATCTTTCAATTTCTATTTTCTTTCTGCCTTTGTACAGTCAAATGATTGCAGTACTGTTATCGTATATATTTTTAATAACTTTTATATGATTTTCGTTAATACTCTACTGAATATTCTTCTGGGTCAAATGTATTTGAGACAACCTTGCTTGACCTGCTTTTGTTTTTTTTATTTACTTTTTTGGATGAGTCGTTCAGCTTTTTATAGATGTTTGATGTTTATATATGTTTGAGTAACCACTCCTAAAACATGTTTCTCCACGTGAGTGAGTTTAGGATGTTTGTTTCTAAATACTTTCGCGAATCTTACTTATTATAAAACGCAGATTGTGTGTCTGTTCGTTTATATATGGGATCATATTTCCTACATTTTTCAACCGATTTCAACAAAACTTCACAAGTTGCGGGGGCTGAGGGGAATTTTTGTCCCTGCCCGTGTGTACGCGTTCGGGTCCCCACATTAATCCGACCTTGTGTCACATCTCGTTCTAGTGGGGGAATGGGTAAATACCAGAGGGACCTTCACCTTCACCTGGCTTACCTCCACATCTCAAGTGTTAATAAAAGCAAAGCATGTCAGATTTATAAAGGTTTTATATTTGTCACTTATCCTATCATTCTCTTGCATTCCTATCTATATTTGATCTTAATTCATATATATATATATATATATATATATATATATATATATATATATATATATGTGTGTGTGTGTGTGTATATATATATATATTTATTACTATTAAATGATGATAATGTTTAAATGAATAACAACATAGATTGCATTTCTGTGATTTTTATTACTGGTTGCTCAGTTAAAGTTTTATCCATAAAATTTTCCCCTACCTTCCCTTACTGCAATATTCTCAAAAAAAAATCTAAAGTAGGATCTATAATGTAATCGGTACTGAATAAGCTTCTTGACTTCAGCCGCTTTCTCACAGACGTGATGTGGCTTCCCTCTGTCTTTTCTACAAATATTTTCATGGCTACTGCACTGATGAGCATTTTTCCCTGGTGCCCTGACTACATGTCAGGGCACCTGACAGTGTAGTGTACTACTTTAAGTGTACTACTAGATTGGCATCTAGGTCCCAACTTTTTACTGTTGAAATAGTTAAATGTAACCGCCCTTCTAACAGTTTCTTTCCTCGCACTTCTCCATATTGGAACTCCATTGCTCTCACTTGCTTCCCTGATAACTACAATCATCAAAAATCTAAATGCAACATCAGTCGCCATGTTTTGTTGCGTTGATACCTGTTCTTTTTTCCTTTCTTCAATCCCCCCTACACCCACTCTTTTCTCTCATTTTCACTCTCCATAACCCCCTGTGTGATAATGGCACTGCTGACTTGCTTGAGGTGAAATGCTTCCCCCCCACCAAAAAAAAACCCATTGAATATAAAATAATTAGGGTACTGAAAATAGCATCTACCACAATCAAAGGTAAAGCTCTCCCACCAACAGCTAAAATAATAAAAAAGTGCTCAATACAATATATATATATATATATATATATATATATATATATATATATATATATATATATATATATGAATGTTTCATTAAAAACGACAGACAAGGTACTACAGTTCAGCTTTTTTATTTAATTTTCTTGTGTTCTGACAAAGACCTTTCTTTTCTGGACAAAACAGAGTAAATTTGTCCGAATTTTCTGTGTTTCCGAAAAACTTTCGGCTATACCTTTAGCCATTTAGCCAGAAAGCGCTCGAAACAAGAATCATCTTCAGTTTACACTCTTGTCCAGAAAAAAAAGCTTTTGTCCAGAAAAAAAAAAAAAATTAAATAAAAGCAGTAGTACACAAAAAAAAAAAAATTAAATAAATATACAAATATATATATATATATATATATATATATATATATAATATAAATATTTGGATAGAAAGTTTGAAGGATTTCACGTACCGCTCTAATATATAAATAATTATATATATATATATATATTTATATATATATATATATATATATATATATATATATATAAAGGCAGGATGTGTGTGTATGTGTAACGAATGCACGGCCGCAATTTTCGACGGATTTGCACCAAGATTTACATGCACATGCTCCAAGGAAGGCCAAGGCTGACTTTGTATTTCCCAACTCTCATCGATAGTGGAAATAATCGATTTTTTCATGCTTCTACGGCAGTTTTCATGTAGTTTGCGGCCATTTTCTACTGAACAGAGTGAGAGCCACGAATAGGCAGGAAGATTCTATTGGCCAGCATGAGAGCCAACAGCTGATTGATACGAATGTTAACTAGCTTGCTAGCATGCAAAAAAAATCGGTAGCTGCATTCGTCACAAGTGGGAAAAATTTAAATCTGCATGGCACTTTACTCCAATTGGCTCATTCGCTTGCTTAAACTCAACGTTGATTCTGATTCCGTAGAACTGGGTTGGGTATGAAAAAGTATTTGTTGTTAACATTCCTTTTTCATTCGGTTCTTCCAGTTACGAGTCCTTTTTTAAAGCTGATCGTTTTGTGTTCATTTTGTTTAGTTCTTTTTTCGTAACAGATTTAATGTTTAGTATAGAGCTTAGAAAAAATTTGCAGTGTGAGATAGGCAAGAAGTAAGGCATGTAGCAACATCACCACGGCAAAGAGCACTCCTTTTAAGGCAAGGAAGGGCAAAAATATTTAAGTCAAGTGATAGCAATTGCTGTATGAGTCGTACGATTTTTGAATCAAGCACGGGCAACGCCGGGCCACGCTGCTAATATTTTATATATGCGCCATAGAAATAGTTATTAGTTTTTTTTTATAAAATAGAATGAATATTCACACAGTGAAATTATGAGGTACCTTTTTTCAGTAGACGCTATGTTGATCCTTTGTAGATTTTATTGTCTTTCAAAAGAATTGCTAATCTATCGTCAGGTACTTTTCCGCTTTTCACATTTTGAACAGTAATTGGTCTGTTTCTCCTTCTGAAACATAACTAGTGTCTGCCAGACTGAATGCTGATGACATTTTTATTTTAGAAGCATACATGTCACTAAATTTAGTCATTTTCCCGCTAATGACTTTCAATGAAAGTATTTACTGTTTAACTCTATGTCTTTTCAGATAGCCTCTATCGTAGCCCTTCGCTACTCCGTCACGTAATCAACGGCAGACTTCATATATCTTCATGATTTTGACCCTGTCTTTATTGCGGTGACACACACCATTCAGTTTAAGTTCATTTAGATTTATAATAAGCCTAATGACTTTTTAGTTCTTTCAGTGTTACGAACCTAGTCGGAATACACTTTGTGGACATTTTGTACTATTGAGTTACATTCTCATTTATTTTTGTCTGATAGTTGGGCTTTCCTATCTACCCTTACTTCCGACACTCTTGCCCTTCCAGTTACCTCGGACCCTCACTTCCGGCTACCACATACTCTTATCTTCCGGCATTCCTACCTTTTACTACTTCCTGCTATCACGGATTCTTATCTTCCGGCAACTTACATCCGGCATTCTTAACCTTTGCTACTTCCGGCTATCACGGGTTCCTACTTCCGGCATCTCAACCTAACTCACCTGGTTGATCGGCGTTAATGGGCCTGCTTACAACAGCCCTGAACTTCCAGCTATACTAGGTCCCTGCTTCCAGCTTTTCTGTCACCCTAACTCACCTTGTTTAGGAAATTGCTGCATGTATATCGTCCAGACTAAACTATTCCGTATACTTCGGTTAAAATACTACGGAAGGTTCACCATTGGATTTGACCAGCAACTGCGCGACGCCAGTACCGGACATTGGATTTGACCAACAACTACGCGACGCCCGCCCCGGACATTGGATTTGACCAGCAACTATGCAACGCCAGCCCCGGACATTGGATTTGATCAGCAACTACGCAATGCCAGCACCGGACATTGGATTTGACCAGCAACTACACAACACCAGCACCGGGCACTAAACTGAATTTTCTTCTCTTTGACTATATCGTTCAGAGTTCAAATAACCTATTCCGTACACATCGGTTAAAATACTACGGAAGGTTCATCACTGGATTTAACCAGCAACTTTTCAACACTTTCACCGGACATTTGAACTTAACTTTCGAACTGTGAACTTATTTGTGAATTTAACCTACAAGGACTCTGGTCTATATTCTAAATACATTTTGTATTAAATTTTAAGTTTAATTTTTGTCGTTCTGTTACCCATTTTGTTTCACCTGACAGATTTCACGTCTTTTATTTTTAAAATGTTATTGGGCCTCTTGTGACCTCTATGCCTTATTGGGGCGCACAGGCCATGTTATAACGCGCCCTTTCCAGGGAGTCCACTACACCTCTTCTTCTTTTATGTGCTGTATCCTTTCAGGATGTGAACAATCATAACTCTTAACAACTTTCTATACTTTGCAGCTCTTAACAATGTTTGTCTTTTACTTCCATTTCCACTCTTTGTTCTACCATCCATAAGTACGTTACTCGCTGTTTCCTTATGCCCCTTTGAGAGAGTATCAAATTCTTAACATCCTGTTTTCTCATTATGCATCAGAAATTTCAACTATCTCTTTCTGATTCTAAGTAATGAAA